CAGGTCGCTAAAATGTGAAATTTTGCTAGCCATTTGCAGGCTTCTACATGAACTGTAAGTTAATAAAATTTTACGGGAGCGCGTCGGCAACATTTGTACGCTTGGAAAATGAATGAATGCTCCAATTATGTATTATAGCATTTTATTAAATTTTACTTTGTTGTATATCTGTGTTTGTCTAGAGGGTGTTTGTTTTTTTTCATAGAGTGCAAATTTTCTGCCTGAGGGTTTTGTATGATGCACCTTTATTTGTTTTTCTGTCCTGGTGGACTATAATGCACCTCTGGCTTTCATGGTTTTGTCAGCTTGTGTACTTTTGCAGACAGTTCAATATTTACTGTCCAAATTGACAGCATTTCTCTGCTGCTCTGCTCACATAGTCAAAATGTTTTTTTTAATTGTATAAATGTGAATTATTTGTAGGACATCAGCTGTCACTTGTAAATGTGCAATAATGAATGAATAGTAATGAATATTTTGCACACAGCATTAAGCCAATCAGGAGCCTTAAAGGGTAACATGTATTTTTTAAACTTGGACCCAATGTCCCATGTTTTAGTGTCTACTTGTCTAATGGGAAGAACAAGTTTTGAAACTGGTCCAGTATTGAGTGAAAAGCACTGCAGCCAACAGCGGCGAAACAGGTTGCAATATAACCACATGGGGCATTTGTGCACTTTCGGTTTATGTCCACTAAAAGTGCTTGTTTCTCATTTACAGGCTCAGATTATTGTGTTAAGTGTCTGACAACATCATGGAAAGGATCCTTACAGAGGAAGGCCTTTTTATTAAAGAGTAAGATTTTTTTCTTTAACCAGAAACAGGCTCGAAATCACTACTGTATAGAGCCAGCGTATTTCCACATCTAACTAGGTGAATTAAGGGTTCATTTCAACCAGAGTTGGCGATTGTTGGAAGAGTAAAAAAGACTGTTTTGTGTGTCACCTTTTAATGAAGTGTGTTTTATGATGGTAACATTACTAATTCTTAAAAAGTGTGTGGTGGCCTTGGCAATAGTGTTTTCCTGGCTTATCATAGTTAAACATAAAGGATCTCACTCTTCAGCAAAAACGTCTATCTCTGTAGGGATCCCTTCCATAATGTCAGATACCTGTAATTACAATCTGAGCCTGTCAGTGACAAAAATAACAATGTTACACTGCGGCCTGTTTCGTTGGCTGCAGTCTTTTTTCAGCATTGGCAGTATAAAAACAAAATCGAGGAGTGCAGTGAAATGCCGCTTGCCTACTTTTGTTTATACAGAATGCGCCTTTTTTGGGGCAATGGGGGGCGTAAGCAAGGAACAAAACGTGTAGCTCAGCGTGTGACGTAAACAGTGACGTGGGAGGGAAGCCGCGGCTGGTCAGTCCTTCAGCACTTCTCTCATAAGTCGGCCCGTTCTTCACCGTCCCTGTCATCTGATGGTTAATGGCCTCTTCGTTTGCGAGGACAAGCAGGGCGCGCAATTCTTTGTCTCCCCAGTTGCTCATCTTCACAGTGTCTGTCAGGTTTGCGTTTCCCTCTTGCTACTAGCTGCTCGCTAATTCCTGCTATCAGCTGTTTCCTGTTTATCCACCGCCAGTGGGTCGCATGTGTGCGTCATCAACAGCTCCTCCCACAAGTCATCAACAGCCCCTCCCATTGCAGAAGGCCGCCTCGGTCTGTTTAAATTAAAGGGGTTCTACCAATATGACTACTCTACGAGGTGGAAAATTGGGCCCCTTGGATCAACTCGCCAATCTGGCTCTGTGTGTCTAAACACTTGCAGCTTGCCTGCAAAAGGCCCAACATTCACGGAAAATCTGGCAGTGTAGAAGGGGCTTGTTGTTATGAGTCACTAAGACAAAAATGTTGGGAAAAAGGGTCCAGTTTGAAGAAATACTGAAGTCACCCTGTCATGTGTCTGGAGGGAAGACAAAAGACTCACAGACTTGAACGTCATCCCGGGAGGTCATGTTAATAATCCATACATTTGCTTGTACATAGAGGTTTTAACACCTGGTGCACTGGGTGCTTTTCTTCTTGGTTTTTCTCTGGGTTCAATTGCAAAACATAGAAGTCTATGTACGTCATAACAAACAGCTCAAAACAGGAAAAGAAATAAGTACATACAACTCAAACTTTATTAACAGAAAAATCTTATGCTGAGATTTAAGAATTAAAGCATCCTCCAAATAACTTTCAGCTGAGAGGAAAAAAGGGTTACACGAGGAAAACATGACACTGACGCTAACGGTAAGAAAAATGGTGCCATATCTGAAACGGACATTCAAATTGTAATGAAACAAATATATCAGTGGTGTGATGTAGACCCTGATAGCGACTGTCATAAAAGCCTTGCGTCAGCCAAACTGCTGACAACAGGAAATGAGTCAAACTGCAGCACTGCATCTGTCTAATTAACAAAAACAGTGAGTCCTGTCTGAACCCATAACTCAGTCGACCAGCTGAAAATAATGTCTTTGTCTATATTTGGTCACAAGAAGCATTCATTTCCTGTCGTGGCTTTTTCTCCAGCTGTGATGGATGATCAGTTCAGCTCAGACTCAGTGGCTGAAAAGACGTGTTGTCCCGCCCGTACAGACAAAGACATAACCACAACACTGCATTTAGTGGTGTTATAAGGTTGCCTTGTACTCACAGTGTCTCTGAATGACCTCTTTATCATGAGCCTGAGAAAAAACTCTTGTTTCCCCTTTTACTGTGAGTACTCAGAAGAACAGAGAAATGAAGCCAGTGCTATGCTGCCTGTTCTTTGAATGGTTTCAGCGCCTCAGCTAAGTGAGTCATAGCTCAGATTGTTTCCCTGTCTCCACACACACAGTCCACCTCCTCCTCTTCCATCTGTAATCTTGTGAATTAAAAAACAACACGTGTTCATTCATACAAACACACACACCTTGCTGGATTTCCTTTTTGCGTTTTGGCCTGTCTGTTTGGATTCAAGCACACACAGGCTGACGGGAAAAAGAGGGGCACTTGCACAAAATGAATTAGTTGACTTAATTAGGTGAAGAAATTAATTAGATTCCCACCGGCTATAGATCATCTATTTCCGGGCCCATATCTCAGAGACAAAAACAACTGCAAACCAGACACCACTCTCACTGCACTGGTACTGAAGGAACACTGTGGTTTCTGGCGTTATGTGACAGTGACTTAAAACATACAGGGTTAATTTGGCCCAAATAATCAACAATACAGAAGTCTTTTGCAACATACTGTCCTGCTTTACAACTCAAACCCCCACCCTAACGTTACCCAACCAAGGCAAACCCTGTAGAAAAGCTGATTATTTTTCTACAGCATCTTATTGCTGGAATAGCCTATCTTCAGATTTTGGTGATGCTGTTGTTGAGGTAGACATTATGTGGAGCTTCCGGGGTCTCTGTTATTTATTTAATGTCATAATAAAAATGGAACTATTTATGTTGCAAGACAGGTTGAGGGACAGGATCTCTGCTGATACAAGAGGGACAGATAAGTGGCTGTTTGTAAAACTAGTGCAACTTGTTAAACAGGTATGGTGACTCGACTGCTGAGGGGGACACGAAACTGCCTGTCAGATACCATATAGATTCACTGTAAAGCCTGGTTAAGCAACCGTGTATCTTTGCTTGGGTGAAGGTATCATTCAAAGCTTTTAGGACACTTGTACTGTAGATAAAATAAGAGTGCAAAAAAAGATCACTTTGGGCCAGTCACGCTCCACCTCTGGGTTAGATTGGGGAACACCACCTAAATTAAGAATTCCAATATGTTATTTTAATGGCCTATAGGAACGTTCAGCCAATACTTGTGAACATGAGCTGTAAGCTAAGTCTGGAGCTGCTCCATAGGCCATAAATGGGAGCATTTGTAATGCCCAAATGAGCTTTATACTATTGTAATGCTCTCAGCTCTGAGACAGAAAATGTACCCATACACTCATTCCCCTGGATGCTCTCACTATCATCTGGATATGTTTGGAAATACTTGCACCGCAGCACAAACTGGAGCACGTGGAAGGTCGGAGTGCTGTTGTAATGTACTGGGCACATTCTGGGCACTCTGTCTGGGGAGACAAGTGGGGTGAATGTGTGATGAACCTAACCATTCATTATTCATATAGAAATAGATCGCTCCACACTCTCATTTTGGTGTACAGCGTCAGATTGGATTTACAAACACACCCTGTAACATTTTTCACAATTCATTATGGAGCAGCTCCCGCCTTTATACCCTATGACATCACACATTTGAGTTTTAGCACTCTAGCTTTTGGAAGATAGTTGTTTATGTTTACTAGTATTCATGAACTCTGGTCGACCGTTGTAATAACATGTATGAATTTTAAAAATGGACGTAGTCCCCCTTTAATATTTGTTAAATAAAGGATTTCTTTCATTATTCTTTTAAACACTGAAACAGGATGCTGTTTTCCGTCCTAATTTTAAGACACATCGTTATCTATTACTATATAAGCAGTAAAAGTTGAACACCTTCCAGTCACAGCTAAGATAGACAAAGAAACTACATCTCCCATGAACCTTTGCGGACGTTATCGGACAAACGCTCATGAGATATGTCTTTTTTTTCACAGTCATGCGTCATAAAAAGTCACTGTAACGTATTTGGTAACACCAAATTTAGTAGATTTGGTTATATGCTTTCAGAAGCAGAGAATAAAAAGGGTTATTGAACCAAATGAAGACGGACACACATAGTGTGCTTTAACTGCATAGTTTACGTCATTTGATGATTAAAATAACATTTAGTTGCTGTTAATATATGTTAAGGAAACATTTAGGGAGGAAAAAAGACAGAAAAGTTGTCCGCTGACTGAGTTTCCATGGCTTTAAAAATTTTGCCTCTAAATTCGGTTGCCCTAGCAACTCGAGTCTGACGTCATCCGTCCCGGTGCGACCCTGCTGCCGTGTCTTTGATTGGAGGGAAACCCCGTGGATGAGCGGGAGAGATCATCAGCTGTGCGGCCGGGAATCAGGAACAGCATCGTCTAACGACACTCACAGGTTAGTTCACGTGCATTTGCTCCTCGTGAACGGTGGTACTTTCGACGGGGAATCGTAGCATTTGCTTCGCGTGGCTCGGGGACTCTTTTAAACCTGCGTGAATCGTTGCTGCTGGGGCGGTAAGAGGAAACCAGTGATGCGCCGCTGCTCAGTCATTGTTCGGCGCTGACTGAATGGGAAGCGTTACTGCACTTTAACCCGTCTATTTCTTTTACACGCTGTGTCCAGGAGGCAGCTTCTGGGTGTACCACTTAAGCTTTTGTACATGTAGCGACCTAAAATTAACACTTAATGCTCTCAAAACCGACAGTGGTGGGTCGTTTTCCGGGAAGCGAAAAAGGGCGTTCACTATGGACTGAACTAAGCTAGGCTCCTTTCATTCCAGTTAAACTCAGACCGTGACACCATTTTTGGGTCTTATCTGTCCACCTGCAGCGTTGTTGAGCATTTTGCACATTGCACACTAAAAACATTGAAGCCAAATCATGTAAGAAGGCTGTTTTTTGCGGTTTGTGTCCTTGCCGCACACAGTACGAGCTCGGTGGGCAGGTGTGTGTGTGTGTGTGTGTGTGTGTGTGTGACGTGAAACTGGGTGGCCGACATTCCTGTGAAGGGTGCAGGTGTCTGCATGCTGGCGAATGTGACTCAAGGGTCGTGAGATTTTTTTTAAAGGTGGTCTCATAGGTGTAGCATTTGATTTTTTTAAGGCAGCTGATAAGCAATAACCTGCAAATTAATGTATTGTTAATGCACTGCAGCAGTCTCCCAGTTCTCCCGAGATGAAGCAAGGGAATTATAGCTAGGAAGCAGCTTTCTTATGAAAGAAATAGCTGAATTGGGTGTCTTCTGATCAGAACAAAACTAACCCTTAACCAAATTTGATTGGTAACTGTACAGCAAAACCTCACCTGCGTTATTCTAAAGGCTAAAATTATATTATACTTTCTGCCTTGCGTTAAACCACAGATAGAGCCTCGTTTTTAAATTATGTAACATACATCTGAAATTATTTGTCAAATTGAGTAATTGACAGAAAATGTGTCTGCTAGTATTTTCGTAAGCTGTTAATAGGCAAAAATGCTGACGATTTCACAGTAATGTGAGCATTTCCTGCTTTTCTATGTCATGCATGATTGGTAACAAAATATGTTGGGGTTTTGGACAGTGAATTTAAATGAAAATGCAAAGACATCAGTTTGTGCTGTAGGAAACTGTGATAGTTAGTAGTAGACAAAACGATTCATTGACAAATATTCTGCAGGTTACTTGATGACTTCACACAACATCTTGATCTTGGGCTGTGAGAAATTGTGATTTTTATTATTTAGTATTTTACATTTAACATTTCACATCCCAAATAATCAATCTTGAAAACACGTACAGATTAATGACATTGAAAGGTGGCTTTTATTTAAAAAACAACAACTAAAATTATGGGATCGTGAAAAGGATCATTCACTAATGGAACTTTCTATTTTCAACATGGGCCCTGCTACAACCCCACTTTGTTGGAAATGTTTGATTCATAGTGCTATTTTGCACATTTCTATCTTCAAGTCTTGCTGATGTAAAATCTTTGTACAGAAAACTGCTCTCCCTTTTCATATTCCAATGACTTAGATGCCAAGTCATTTTAGTCACCAGTATAAATCAAGTCTGTGCCAGCTTGAGTGCAGATGAGCCAAGCTGGTTGAAATCCAAAAACTGCTTTGGTGTGCACACACTCAAGACGAACTATTGGATAAAAAACTCCAAGCATTGTGAGAGACTGAAACACAGATAGGATTTTTTTTTGTTGTTAAATTGTGTTCCGGGGAGTAGCAAAAGTGTTTATTCCCTATTGACTGCTTGCTATTTTTACGCATCTTTGAATGTACGTTTACAACATGCATACCAAGAGCCAGGTTTTTCAGAGAAATCAGGTTTTGCAGGACACACAATGTGTTAACATGCACTGTAGCCCTCCCTCCTGTAAGTTAACTGATCATATCCCTCCCCCTTCCCCACTATGTTGCTCCTGTCTTGTCCCTGCCCTCCCCCAACACTCTCTTCTCTGTCTTCCTAATCCGTCTCCTGTCCCCTTTGTTTTGTCCTTTCCGACCCCCTCTCGTCTGTCCTTCCTTCCTCGGCCCATGCAGAAGCCATGGCAAACAAGGAGGATCAGGTACAGAAAGCCAAACTGGCTGAGCAGGCTGAGCGCTATGATGACATGGCGGCAGCCATGAAGAATGTCACAGTGGAGTCCTCAGTTCTCGACAATGAGGAGCGCAACCTGCTCTCTGTCGCCTACAAGAATGTGGTGGGAGCTAGGAGGTCCTCCTGGAGGGTGGTGTCCAGCATTGAGCAGAAGTCTGAGGAACTTGGGAGGAAGGCACTGGCCAAGGAGTACAGAGAGAAGATTGAGGTGGAGCTGAATGACATCTGCAACGAAGTACTGGTAAGAAGCAGAGACAATAGGTGTTTTCAGACCAAACAGTTCTGCAACTCTCTGAGGGAACTGCCCACTAGGAAGCTCCCCCTGAGAACTACAGACCTTTTTAAGGGCTTTTTACTGTTTGCATTTGCACCGTCAATAGGAATGCTGAAGTGACAACAAAGTAACAACATGACTTTGGCTTTGACAAGTCAAAATCATGTTGTGTCACCACTGTCAAATAGATGTTCAATGAAGCCTGGACTTCACTGTTGGTCCATTTGTCCGTGTTTTCTTCCATTTTTTTGGTTACAATCAGTTGTTTGTGTTTTGTATTGTTTACATGGCTAATAGGGATGTAATGATACCAGAAACTCACGATACGATATTATCACGATAAAGAGTCCACAATACGATATATATCACGATATTTATACAAGGGGAAAAAAGAGACAATTTATTGTTAAATAATAGCTATTTTATTCAAAAATATTGCATGTACACTGTACAACATGTTATTTTTAACTTGGAAGTGTATCATAAAGTATCGTAAACAAATCAAGACAGCTGAACATGTGCTTTCATCAAATGTAATAAATAATGTAAACTCAAAAACACACAATCCCTCACTCACAGATACAGAGGGAGAGAGAGAGGTGGGTAGAGATGTGTGTAAAAGAAAACCAAAATAAATAAAGCCCAGCCATTTCCCTGGAAGTCATAGAAAAACTCAAAAACACACATTCACTCAGTTTGTTCACGCCAGGTTGACAGTGTTGACATCAAGGAGACCCTAACACTCAGAACAGGAGATGAGGAGAGGAAAGCTCTGGTCCTGCGCTTTCATATGATATGTGTGGCATTTCTGTGCGAGCCTGCATTCGCGAGTAATCCATCCAAAAGTAATGTGTGTGCAAAGCTGTATGAAAGCTTTGTTATACATAATTTTAGTGTAACTTTATCTTTTTTTTTCGCTGTGAAAACATTGGACTACCGACAAGTGCTTGGCCTTGTCGGAAAACTACGGTTTCGCTGATTCACGTGGTATGCTCCATATATGGCTTCTCACTATGACGAATGGTCGCAGAGAAAATCCACAGAGAAGAACACTCAATCTCCTTACTTTGTTCGCCATTCTAGCATTTCTGTTCACTTGTCTCGTTTCCTCTGGTCACGCATGGGCAGAGTCGGAGGCTGAGAGGCTGAGCTGCAGGGGTCTCATCTCACCTGTGCGCGCAGTTGCATGCAAAGGATTGTGGGGAATGTAGTCGCACAGTCATATTACTGGCTCTGTAGGAGAACGCAGCTATATAACTACTATGGCATTCCCACGACCGTATTGAGAATTTATTTTATCGCGACACCGCGAAATTCGATATATCGTTACATGCCTAATAGCTAACGTTTTTTTTTTTAAATGACAGCTGCTGGTGCTGTCTTGTCCTTGTGCGACCAGTCAGCGCGCACTTCTGTGACTCACGGTTCCTCTTGTGCTGCGTGATTACCTACTCTGAAATTGGAGCTAAAAAACGACCTCAGAACGACTACGAAGTTCCTAGTTCCCGTGGAACAAAAGTGGAGTTCTTAGAGCTATGAAAACTCCTGGTCTGAAAATGTCGAATGGAGAGGGGTGAAGAGGGTGGATGGAGGGGAAATAAGATCAAGATCTGTAGATGGCTGTTAAGACAAAGAAAAAATTTGGAGGCGTTCAGAAGATGGCTGTTTTTAGTGAGACCACAAAGCATTACAAGTGAAATAATCTCTTCCTGTGGAACGGACAGAATGTGAGAAACAAGTATTCAAAGGAAGTACTCCTAAGTTATTAAAATGTCAAATGTTGCTATGTGGAAATCAACAGTGAAAACCACAATGACGGCTGTGTATATCAGTTTATTTTGTTTTCTATGCCTTGTGGCACAAAAGACCAGTCGATCAAAACGGGAAAAATAAGGGCCAATTTAAGTCCACAAAATAGTGGAACATAAAATAAGAAAAAAATACTCAGAGAAACAGCAGCAGATGTGTATCAAAAACCTCCATCTTCAGCCTGGAGGAACAGAGTCGACTTATGTCAACTGTTAACCTTAACCTGTTAACAACCTGTGACAGCTTCTCTGTATGTTTAGCCAAGGCCCAGATTTTCCACAGTGTTTCACCAGGGAACAGGTGACCTAGACAGCAGAAAAAAGTAGCTAAAGTTAGCTAACTTTGACTAGTAACATTAGCCTGACAGCGGTGCATCCATTTACAGAGTGGAAATATAAAAGATAGCTAAACTCCAACATTTACTCACCCGGTAAAAATGAAGACAGTAGTCGTTTGAGTCGTGGATCCTACCGCAAACAAAATAGTTATAATCCAGTAGATTATTGTATGGTTTCATCAGCTTACTGTGTAACATTAGTAATGTTAAGAAGTCTGGAGGACGAGGTAATTTGTGATGACGATCACCGGGCAAATCGGTCAAGGTGCGGGAAAAATAACTTTAATTCGTTTTGCATGGATCACATCCAACATGAGTTTTAATATTCTGACAATACATGCTGCCTGCAGGTTCATCCAAACCTTTTTTTGTAGTCCTGTCGATTTCCAATCAACGCAGTATATGGATTTATCAATTTTGCGTGCCATAATAGTCACATGATTGCAAACAAGCTCTACGTTCCATTTGTGCGGCACACACAGACCAGTGGGCCTCGTTCACCAATAACTTCCTATGTTTTTTCTTGAATTCGGTCTTAAGAAAGTGTACATCAGATTTGACATGTTCTTAAACGGGAGAGTTGTTCGCACCTGTGTTCTTATCGTGATGAATCCCACCGTCTTCAAAAGCTGACAGGGTGTGCCAGTTGATCCTAATTAGCACAGGTAAACGCCCTGTGAATCTCCATGTAAGGACATGAGAATATAGGGCCATGTGCAAACTTGGAGACAGAAGAAGAAAAAGAAAAAGAGAAACTGAAAGAAAGTCAAAGAAAAAAACGCACACTTTTCTTTTTGAAGTGGAGGTGCAACTGCAGAGAAAAGTTTCCTTGAAAAGTCACTGGAAAGTTTGGGATTTTTGTTTATGAAACAATGTGGGAACCCTGCATAGTCAATATGTGTTCATAAATCTATATTTTAAATGTTAAAATCTTTACCTTTAAAGATGCAACATATATGAGGTGATAATAGCAAACATGTCTCAGAAAAATGCGATGAAAGACTTGACTGACAGTGTTGAAGGAAGGCAGGAAATAAGCGGTCTGCAACAAGGATGTCCTTTTAAAGCAAATATGCTGACTGTTGTGTCAAAAGGTTCCAGTTGCACACTCAAACACGCCTCTTCAAATACTGTTGTCAACATTAAGTTAACTCCTGAGCTGACTTGTTTCTGCCAGTACAGTTGTGTGGTGAGTTCCACACTTTTCAACACTAATGTTGCACGCCTTCACTTGCAGGAGCTGCTTGACAATCATCTCATCCCCAAGGCTGAGCCTGCTGACAGCAAAGTCTTCTACCTGAAGATGAAGGGAGACTACTACCGCTACCTGGCTGAGGTGGCCACTGGAAATAAAAAGGACGGTAAGTAAAGCAGACAATGTGTCCTGTAACAGTTGAAGTCATTTTGGAGGTTTGTTTTTGTCATCATACATGGCTATTAGTTTCTCCATCCATCTCTCGGGGCAATCACGTGAGGAAATCACATGACACAGAGAGATTATTGCTGAAGGTTCATGAGCAATACACAAGACACTTCAAACACTTTAAAAAAATCATGCCATCATCCCCCAAAATCACACAGTGCTGTGTGATCCAGCCCTTTGTTTCAACGGCAATAGGCTGCTGCACATCTGGTGCATATGTGCTGATTAATAGTCCATAAAAATCCTCTTTAAAATGAGGTGACCTGGCTTGCCTCAGGTGTTGTTTGTAGCCAGGATACTGACTCCCTCCCTGTCCTTGACCTACAACCATCAGCCGAAATGCATGCAAGGGTTGCTGCTGGGTTGTCATGGCAACAGGAGCAGTGCCAGGGTGTTGGCTGCTGCTGGTTGCTGGGAGGCATATTTAGAGTTTCTTTGTATGTGGTTTTTTTTTTTTTTTTTTTTCTTTCTTCTTCTTTCTCAATTTCAGATTGTGTTGAGGGTCATACTGTGTCTTTCAGTGGTATATTTGCAGTTGCATTGAAATTAGTGCAATCGTTTTCATCTCACTGGAAAATCAGCCCCCGAAGGTGGTTTATCACCTTTTCTTGGGCAGTTTGTGACCCGTAGTGTTCCAATATGGCTGTTGTCTTAAAGGCTTTACCTTAAAAATGCACTTATAACACCTGATAGTTCTTTGATTTTGAGGAGATTTTTTTGTCATCTTAACTGAGTCCTGTTTTTTCCCATTAAAGGAACAGTGTGTAAGATTTGGGGGGGATTTAGGATGGGTAGGGTCGCAGATTGCAACCAGCTGAAACTTCACCAGGTTAGAGTGCACTAAAAACACTGAATTAAGCAGTTTTATGTTACACATTAGTGTTTGACCTATGCTGTTGGGTATATTGCAGGTGGACTGCTAGCCTAGCACCTGCTAATGTGTGCTCACCTTTATTTCTCTGATAAGATCGAGACATTCGGGGGGGGTTTTACCAGAAGCTGAACTATCCGCACAAGTCTCTTTCTCTCCAAAACAAACAGACTCAGGAATCTTAACTGGTAAAAACACTAAATAAAGCAGCTCCATGTAGAAAAAGAAATCTGTTTTTTCCAATGCTCTCGTTGCGGAGGAGCTGTGAACTATGATGGCCGACACGACAGTGCAGATGGCTCTATCTAGAACCAGTGTTTAGTTTTGTTTAGTGCAATATATCCCCTTAAATCCTACACACTGAACCTTTAATTCTAAATTATTGCTGTAACAGTAGGTCTTTGCTGTGTGGTTCATGCTGCTGAAATAACTTTTTTAACTGTAAAATGCTGGCCAAAGCCCAAAATGTGTCTTGGCAAGCAACTGGTGTGAACTACTGTAGTAGACAGTAGGGCTAAAACAATCACTTGATTGACAGAACATTAATCAGTAACTCTGAGGATTTTTTTAACAGTTCATTCATGGTTCCAGCTTCTAACGAGGGAGGATGCTTTTCTTTGTCTTAAACTGAATGTGATTGGGTTTTAAACTGTTGCTTGAACAAAACAAAATTGTAATGGCGAGTTTAGGGAAATTATGATGGGCTTTTTTCTTTTTTTTAAATTACATTTTGTTAACCAAATGATTAGTTGAAAAAACAATCAGCAGCCCTACCCGACAGTTGAACCACAAACAGGGCTTGCCTGTCATGTTTATGGGAGTTATACTGTATGCAGGCTGTTAAAGTTCAGTTTTTGAATACTTGATATGTGTAAATATTGGCAAAGGTTGTTGTGATTATCAAAAAGAAGTCTGAGAAGCAGGAACATGCACCACCACACATACACAGATGGTGCACAGTGGTATGTGCTCCATGATCACGATATCTTGTTTTTCCCCCATTTGAAAAAAATCTGCTTCCTGAGTGGTCTATCTTCATATGTGCAGATATCATCACAAATTCAAAAGAAGCCTACCAGCAAGCCTTGGATATCAGCTATGCAGACATGGAGCCTACACATCCCATCCGCCTAGGCCTCGCTCTTAACTTCTCTGTCTTCTTATATGAGATCGTCAACTCACCTAGTGAAGCCTGCAAACTGGCCAAGAAGGTAAGAACCGTTCTCTGTTCACATTAGTGTTGTATTTTTGTATCTCTTTAATTCTATTTCCATTTGTTCTGTCCTCTAAAGGAATTGTATGGGGTTAATGTTGGTTGTAAGAGAAGTTTACTTGAAAGTGGAGGTGTTTATCCTGGATTATATACGGAGACTCTCCCTGTCACGGTACTCATCCGGGCAGTGGCTGGATACAAGAGGAATGCTACGGCCCTTTTCAAAGCAGATGTTTTATCTTTGTCATACTTGGGTCAAAATACAATCTTGTAACCTATTTGCTATTGTCTGATGATGACTTAGCTTTTTATTATGTTCATGTATGTGGATATCTATTCATAGATGTTATCAGGTCCGTGTCTGATTCGTCCTGGCCGCTCAACCAGTACTGAGCATGTGCAACTCTACAGAGATGAGAAGGAAGATTTGTGTGACCAGGAAGTTACTGACTTCTTAGTATTTTGCATTTGATAAACATGCTGCAAGTACACTTGGGTGATGGTGGTACCTGATTTGATTTAATGAAAATGAGCTTGAACATCAACATGAACAACGCTGTTTTCTTTTTTTATGCCTCTGCGCCAGTGATAGCCATGGCTGAGGCATTGTGTTTTTGGGTTGTCTGTCCGTCAGTCCCATTCTCGTGTACATGATATCTTAAGAAGAACTTGAAATTCTTCAAATTTGGCACAAATGTCCACTCAAGGATGAACTGAATAGAATTTGATGGTCAAGAGTCAAAATCATTGTCTGTGGCATTCTTGTGAACGTGGTATTGCAAGAACAGCTTCAGGAAATTTCTTTAAATTTGGCACAAACATCTACTTAGACTCAATAATGATCCAAATTGTAATTTGGTGGTTGAAGGTCAAGGTCACTGTGACCTCACAAAACATTCATTATGCATTCATTATGACAAAATCTCACACAAATGCCTAACAGGAAAAATTGAAGTGATGACATGTTGTATCCAAAAGGTCAAAGGTCAACTCCACTGTGACATCATAATGCTCTGCAAAAAACTTTTGTGGCCATTATTTAACATGATATCTCAGGAACAGAGAGTGAGAAATTTGGTCAGAATCTGAAGTGATACTAATCTTAGGTGCCCTCCTTAAAACGTTGCTGATTGTATAGATCCTCTGTGCTGCATAACAGATGCTGTGTTTCAAAATGACACCAAACTTTTCTGTGGCATGACCTGCAATGGACAATAAAGCTTTTTGTTGGCAAGTTTAATTCTGGTAAACCTTTGGCCCCTACTGGTCAGTCAACAGGAGTGAGGCGTCAGCAGTCAATGACAGTATAAAACAGTTTTTCTGGACAGTTGTGAATCACCACAACCATGTAAGATCCTTGAGCATACAATCATAAATACTCACACAAAATGTGAGGCTGATTGGTCCAGTAGTTTGCTGCAGACAGACAGATAAATGCACACACAATCTCACACACGGCAGAATGCATGATCCCCTCCAGGCTTATGTCTGATGAAGATAAACTTTTAAACACACACTCAGTAAGGGTCATAGCATCAACTGCAAGGTTATCCCCAAAGATTGGAACATCAGACATTATGTGATCTGCTTCATTTGACTAATGCTATATTCTGTGATTGTTATGGTCTTGTTACTTTCACCATGGAATTTTTATTAAGCAAAGAACTCATATACCCTTTTATCTTAAACCATTAATTGCTGTTGTCTGTCATTTTTCTAATTCAAATCATGTCTTTTTTTGTCTGACCAGTATTTATTTAAATCCATCTCATGTTGGTGAGTTTATAATCTCCTTTGAAGCCTGCACACTGTTTTTGGAAGCACTGATGGTATTCTTTGTGTCCTCCAGGCCTTTGATGATGCCATTGCAAAGCTGGACACTCTCAACAGTGACTCCTACAAAGACAGCACCTTGATCATGCAGCTGCTCCGTGACAATCTGACAGTGAGTGTCTCATCCTCATCTCTCTGCATGTCAGCTGTGTCTTACACTTAAACTTTCTGCTGGCCCTTATCTCTGTACTTCGGGTACAGAGGCTCATTTTCGAGCTGTAAACTCCCTTTAGCATTGCTGCTCTTACCTTTCTTAATGCTGTTAGCAGTGTCAGCACAGCTAGTGGGGCTAACAGAGATGCTAAAGGGGTGTTGCAGCTCAAAATGAAGCCATCTGCTCACTGGGGCCTCCTGGGGGAGACTAGAGGGTGGCCACCATCTTTCCGCAGCAAAGCTGCACTGCCACTGGGACAGTGTTAGAAGCAGTAATCGCCGATCGAGTCATGCTGTTAGCTGGCTCCCACTTGACTCAGGTGATGCACAGTGCAGAGCAGCTAAGGCTAGGGGTAGCTAATATGAGACCAGTAGGTTGGGCAGTGGGCACTGTGTCTCTGCATGTTAATGCGGCTAGCCGGCTGTCTGTCAGCAAAGCTAACAGGAAGTTATAGTAAAGACATTTACAACACAAAATATTAAAATTTCACCACCATTTAATTGGAAAGCCTCTTGTAGTGCCCTCTGCCTGTCCATTTTTTATGCAGATTTTAAGTTATCTGTGAGTTTGCTTCACAGCAAAATAGCAATTAAGCAAAGGACATGATTCGGTGGTGGCTTAGCAGTAACAGTTTTTAAAGAATGACGCAGCTCAAGAAAGCGCTCAGTCTGATAGGGGCAGGCTTCTACAAAAAGGCCAGTGCAGTGGTTCTCAAATGCGCTCTGTCTGATCGGGGCCTTAGCATGCACTAATCCTAGTATCCTTTGCTCTGTTGCAGCTGTGGATGTCAGACACCCAGGGTGAAGGCGAGGGCGAGGGAGAGGAGACGGAGAACCAGCAGGTCGCTCAGAACTGAACTTCAGAGAAAATAAACAAGAAAAACACACATTTTTTACCTCTCACCAGCCTAAGTTGTGTGTGTGGTTGTGTATGCACATACATGCACGGATATGTATGTTTACACTCCACTCACAATGTGTACAGTACAGTATGTGTGTGCAGATACATTGAAGTGTGTGTTAATTGTATGAGCACCTCCACAGAGAAAAGAATGGAATAGATCTGTTACTTTGTTTTCTTTTTGAACATTACTCATTGTGTCAAACAGTGGATGTTTATTTTGTTTTTCTGTCCGTGGTTCAGTCCAGATGAAATCCTCCCTTAGATCCAAATCAGCCCCATGCTCTTTAACCTTATTCACTGTAGCAAACTGCTGCTGTTGCAGGAAAACACAAACAAAAAAACCTCTAACTGTAATTTCTATGTTTTTACTTGAACTCAACATTTATGATCTTTGGGACACTTGGATCTACAAAATCCTTGGAAGCACGTAAACATGTTAAAAAAAATGGTCACAGCGGTCTGACTTCACTAAATTTTAAGTCTCATCTGACAATAGTGATCATATTGATGGCAGAATTTGCCTTGGTAAAGATCTGTTACCATATTGCTTGTATCCATCCCGCCCTGTCAGTGTCCAGTGTAGCAGGTAGTGTTTTTATGGATGGTACATGTGTCACGGCTCAGTGGGTTCTATGTGCATTCGGGTGTAGGCAAGGTTTTTCTGTGTGAATGACCACTTGGGAAAACTGTAGTTAAAAGTTTGGTTGATCATTTTGTTGAGAGGATTACATTCCATTTTACTGACATCTTTTCACTCTCAGTGAAATGCGTAAGCTATAATTTTCCTGCAATTTTCCACAACACATGACAAGGTATAGTCAGCCTAAGACAAAGTGAACAACTTGACAAAATGGCTCGATACTGTAACTTTTGATATTTTATCTTTCCAGCAGTGCAGAGGATACTTTTGCCATGTGCTATTATGTGGCTTTCTACTCCTTTTCTATCCAGGTGTTTTGTATTTCCTTTCTGTGTATTTTATTCCCTTTGACTCTTGGTTTGACTCCTGGAATGTATGTGGTTCTCAGTAGTATGGTGTGAGGGTTAGCCGTGCTTTGAAACTGGCAATTTTTGCTTAGGCTTTAGCTTGAACCAGGTGGTTTACAGTAACATTTACCTTCCTTGAAAGTACGTCATGAAAAGACAAACTAAAACAATGCAAAACATAAACTGATTATTAAAGTAACTTGGTAGAAAGCTGCATTCTGACCATTTAGTAGTCACAAAGTAGTGCCAGTTTCTTCTAATTACAGTTATCTTGGTTTTAAAAAGATGGGATGCAGGATTCAAAATTTGCAAGTTACACTCTGAGTACGTTACTTGGTTATGTGCTTTCATGTAAGTGGAATTAAAACATTAAAATCAAGTGTGCTGTGCTCAATGTGTTTGTTTCCTCTCTTTACATGACATATATGCATATGAGAAGCTGTGTTTTCCACTATTTACCACACCAGCTGCTTACATTGAGACAACCTCTCCTACCTATTCTCCACCAAATTAGCTCTGGTACTTGAATCATTTCTGTTCAGGACTCTTTGTTCTAGCTAGCAAACCAGCCCGTGTTTCCACCTGTGTTGAGTGGACTGATTATAATTAAGAATGTGTCAGCAATGGAGGGCGTTGCATAATACACAATGAAAGTAGCAGTAGCAAGATGGCGGCTCACACTGATTATCTGTGAACTTTTGTTCTGTTATTACACCTTTGCTTTTATCCAAAAGACAATTAAGAAGACCGCTGCACAGTGCACACTTTTTTTTATCCCAATCATTTCTCATTCAACTTCTTTGTTGTTCCCTCTTCATCCTCTCTTTACTACCTATAGAATAACACACACACTAATGTCGTCACAGAAAATCTAATTTTTTTAGGTCCAACTGGGAACAAACATTTAAGGTTCTGAACCAATTTGTTTTTGTTCTCAATGCTCTGAATGGTTCAAAATTTGGTGCGGGAACCAGAATTAAACCTGTTCCACATTGGTGGAAAAGGGGTAACCATCCATGTGGGGAAATTGCAGCTATAGGATGTCCTCAAGCACACACCCATGAATTTGATCTCTAACAAATGAACATAAAGTTTGATGTATTTTTATTTGGAAGGAAAAAGACCGTTTGCACCCTCATGACTTGTTAATCTCTCCCGAAGTGAAAACTTAATGTTAGCCCACAATTTGAGGGTAAATTACAATGTGATTACAGCTCTGACTGAGGGCAAATATGTCACATCATTCTTAACAACATTACAGGCTTAAACACAAATTTACTCTTGCAGCTGATGAGGTGACACGTTGCTGGAGAAAGACCAGTGAGATGATGAAATGCTATAGCTTATTTCATTACCTGTCATAGCTCTGGTGAATGAAAAATCATAGTTTAAGGTGCAAAATTTAAAAATCTCAGGTAAAGCACATTGGAAGAGGCTGCAGAGGTCTAGTTTGATTTTAGGTAGAGGGGGGCTTTTATGCTTTTCACTGACAACACTGCCCTCTGCAGCTGCTTCAGAGGCCATGTTGTGTTGCATGTAGATGTACCATGATACTCAAAAATTGTCACTTGTTTACTTGAAGCTTGCCTGACCAAAAAAAACTATCTCTAGATAAACCTAGAAAGGTTTCATCCAGCTCTACTGAGACAAAATCTGACTAAATAAGGGTGTAGGTTTTGTTTTAATATTGGGGGGTGGGGGGACACATACAGTCCTCAGCCAGAAGATTTTGAGCATCAAACAAGTTTCTTGCATTCCGGTTTATGTCTGTACACCAAGGTGTGCCTTTTCTGTGTACATTTATGGTCTAAAAGTCTTGAATTTGGTCAAAATAAAAGTCACTTTTATGTCACACTAATCCATGCCTCTTTACAGCCATGCAGATCACAAGCAGGCTGCCGTTAATCTATTTATAAGCCATTGTAAGCCTATCACATCATACAATATCAAGGGGTCAGTCTTTGTCTCAGTGAGCAATTTAGCTCTGATCAATGGCATTTAAAGACAACTCTAGTGAAGTGAGTGATGTGGCTCTGTCTTTCCTTGTCATTCTGATAGCAGCTGATAAGGCCCACAAGAGTTACACCACAGCATATGCTGCATAAAGGCTGAACCCCTCACTTTTGTAAGAAGGGTAAGTGTGAAGGGTTTGTATGTGATTCATTCCTACATATCATATTTGTTAAATGTCCTTACACTCGTATCAAATGAGGAATGTCAGGCATTGTGTTGCAATAAAATGCCATACCACAGGCATGACTAGCCCCATGACTTTCCCAGTGCTGTACTGGCACTTTAGCAGCAGGGGTGGTTGTGTGAATATGGGCAGCATGTAGATCCTAACCACTGCGGGCGAATTCACGTCGTCCCCATACAGCACCACTAAACAATTGACTATTGTGGCCAACACAATAAGTCAGTAGGCTCTGACAAGACGTTTTTACATGATTTCATCATCATGCGTACAGTTGTGGTCAACGCCCCTTTGTTGACTTTTTTTCAACTATACTGGAAGATGATTGGTCCGTTTCGATGACGCGCCACCAGTATATAAACACAACTTTCCAACCGTTTCATCCCCCTCAACCCCGGCTGCCAGTGCTGTGTGAGTGCGCGTGTGCCCTGAGCTCGCTCGGCACACATTCTATAAAAAAATAAAAATACAAAAAAAATTCAAAACATAAAAAAATAACACAAAAATCGTTTTTTTCTTTTTGTAACAACGGTGAAGCTGGAGTAGACACTCGAGGACTGGACGGTAACGTATAAGAAAGGGCTGCCTAACGTTAAAGACGAACGACAATTTTTTTTCCCCCCAGTCGACGTGTTACTGGTCCAGAAGCGAAGCTAAGTAACGTTTATTTGCTTTTATCGTCGTGTCAAATTTGAATGACAGTTTTAATAACAGTACAAGTCGACCTTGTGCCATTTTAACTTGCTCATCTTATAATTTTTTACTTAAAAACCCTTCAACTGACAAGCCAACGGTTGTTAACGTTTACCATCAGCATTCTGCCCCTAACTGACGTGACGTTAGCGACCGTGAGAGAACCAAGCGTTTGTACTGTCGCCGAAAACTTTTTACGTTAAAATCAGGCTTCGTCCGAGTACTTTGCTAGCTTCCGCGGACAACGACGATGAACCCCAGTGCTCCCAGTTACCCCATGGCCTCCCTGTACGTCGGGGATCTGCATCAAGATGTGACCGAGGCCATGCTTTACGAGAAATTCAGCCCAGCCGGAGCTATCCTGTCGATCCGGGTCTGTAGGGACATGATCACCCGGCGTTCCCTCGGATACGCCTATGTCAACTTCCAACAGCCGGCAGACGGTAGGTAATTTATTAAAATACCGATTAAAATGTGTAAAATAAACGTTTGTGTAAGAATGACAGGCGCTGACGAGTGAAAGCTAGCGTCTTTCCACTACACGTGACTGCGGCCGACATGTTGTCGGTAGGGTCTCTCCTCAGTTGAACCTCCCAGCAGTGGCGTAGCAGAAAAGCACCACGTCCGCCCTGCCCTGCCCTGCCCTGCCCTGCCCACCCCAGTCATGTAGCTGTTGACTGTTAGCTGCCAGCTGAATACTCAGTGCTTCTTTATCTCTGTCCTGTCAGGACAACACCCCAACTGTTCAGCCCAAAGTGCTGAAACGACTATCTAATTAAACCTCCCCAGAATGCTTGCCAGTCAGCCATGCTACATGAACATTCATCTGTATCTTTTAAATGAAAAAGATTAGGTCAATTCTATAAAAAAGAAAGTGAAAGAATATGTCACCCCTGCATGCTCAAGTAGCCAAATACTGACCCTGCACAAAACATTTTCTGCATTTCATTGATAAGAACATAAGTCTGCCTTTGCCTTCTGATTTTCTTGGGTGTGTTTCTGAGTTTTTACTGAGATAATAGCTAGATAATATGGCAAGTATAAAGGATGGGGCCTGCAGATCAAATCATCTGTCATGGTGCATGTCATTTTCTATCCTGGTAGTGAGTATATTATGGGATATGGTCCTTTTTTTCCACTGGAAAAGTAACTACATAGGGATGTCCTCTTTTCTGATAAAGGTACTCCGTAACATTGGTGCAAAATCCTCTACACACAGTAAACCATAAAACAATGGTGGCTTCATAAGATAAGAGATAATAAAGAGATAGTTTTGATAGTGTGAGGGCAACAGCAAAATTCGGACAGTTTCTATGATGTCAGGTATTGGCTGACCCCGCCTATTACTGGTTTTTGTGAACTGTTTATCATCCGTTGTTTCTTTAAATTGTATTTGATTTATACTCATTAACAATGCTGCTGGTAATTAAAATGGTCCAGTGACAGAGGGCATCAAAGATTATTATTATTATTAGAGCTGTAACAATTAGTCAGTTAGTTTATGGGCTGACTGATGACACTGAGATTAATGATTAAGTCACACTTTTCAAGTGAAGAAGACCAAAAAAATCACCAAATGTGACTATTTGCTGGTTGTTCTAATCTTTTATGACAGTGAGCTGAATAATTTGTGGTTTTCTGAAACAAGACAAAGAATATGAATCTGTCAACTAAGGCTCTGAGGAACTGTGGTGAACTCTTTGGACATTTTTATATAAAACTGACAACTAAAAATAAGTAAAATAGTGTAAGGACATAATAATCAGATGAATCTGTAGTGACCAAACTGCCGTTATTTTTGTGTTACTGAAATTAAGTAAACTTTTTTTAAATGTATACATGTCTAAGTTGGCAAGCTGCCAGAGAGATTGCTAATGCAGTTGTGCTTACTACTTGAGAAAGGCACCGTTTGAACTTTCAGACCAAGGGAATTAGGCCAGATGAATGCAGCAACACCCACTATCAAGCTGCCCTGGAGCAAAGGACTCAAAGGAAGGTGACACTTTCTACAGATACAAATGTTTTACCACCATGACAGCACGGTGCTAAAACTATTGGCCTTCTTTTTCTTTAGAAATAGCTTGGGTAAAATTTTGAATCATTATATGTGAGGGACTACAACCCCCCTCTAGACTGTCAAATCCAGCACTTACTGGATGATAATACTAAATGCTTATATTAACTGATCTAACCCCTGCTCCTGTGTTCCTCCCCTCAGCCGAGCGTGCGCTGGACACAATGAACTTTGACGTGATCAAGGGGCGGCCTGTGCGCATTATGTGGTCACAGCGTGATCCCTCACTGAGAAAGAGTGGTGTGGGAAACATCTTCATCAAGAATCTGGACAAGTCCATCGACAACAAGGCTCTATACGACACCTTCTCTGCTTTTGGCAACATCCTGTCATGCAAGGTAAAAGACTAGTGGCCGACTCCCCTTCTTGTATCTAACGTGAAACTGGGGGGATGGTCAGCCGTCATTGTTATGGTACAGCATTGTGAG